ATTAAGCTAAATATAATTGCACACAATATCACAGTCTTTCATCAGAATTCTTTTAAAGAAACTATACTTGTTAACAGGGAGACTGATGCATCAAATGCATTATACTTTTAAATTTTTTTAAATGTATTTGGTACATGGTATTGGGTCTCACTATGCAGCTTCAACTCATAGTGATCTTCCTGTTTTCAGCCTCCTCAGAACTGGGATTACAGGTGTGCACCACCACCCCCAGTTTTGGTGGCTGGCTTAGCCCACCTGAGGACAAGGCTGGTGTGGCACGTGGTATGGGGGATTGAACCCGAGTCCCTGCACTTGCCTAAGCAGGTGTTTAGTCCGCTGAGCTATCTGGATGGCCTGCATTATACTTTTTATACTTTGTATGTACAGTGCTATTATACTTTTTATGAAGGCAAAATACCAAGTAGATAACACCAATTGTAATGTCACCTTGTTTAATATTTTACTAAAATCTTTTATTGTTAATATTATTAACATGCACTAAATTAATGAAGGATCACAATGCCATCAGACCTACGTGAATACATAAAATTGAGGACCAGTGTTTAAATCAATGTTGAGATTATAAGGCAAGTTCCTCTGTTTAAGGGGCTAGCCTTCCTCAGAAGATAATTTGTGCATGGAAAGAATTAAGAAAATTGATTCACTGTAATTTCTTCAAATAATATCACATTTATTAAGAATAGGTCATGGAGAGGAAAAATAAAACCGTCCAAATACATTAATGCAATTAATATTGGCTTTTTAGAGTGAAAATTAAAGAACTCCAAGTTTTATTATTGGATACTTTGAGAAATACAAGATAACTTAGTTAAGATCATTTCTACTTAAAATCTTAATTGAAGGGCTAGCCAGATAGCTCAGTGGACAAAAGCACCTCTAGGCAGGCACAGGGACCAGGTTCAATTCCCAGCATGCTGTGCTGGCCCCGCCCCCCAGGGTGTGCTGAGACAGCGATTGAGAATGGGTGTGGTGGAGTGCGCCTATAATCCCACACTTGGGAGGCTGAAAACAGGAGGATCACCATGAGTCTGATCTGTGTAGTGAGATCCTGTAGACCCTATACTAAATACATAAAAAATGTTAAAATACTAATTGATATAGATAATGACATGCCTCACTATTAATGTCTAGTTCTCATTAAGTGGATTATTTTGGCAATCACATGCTGTGTTTGTGAAATACAGTAAACACAGAAAAACTAACAAGCAAGAATTTATGTTTCAAGTAACTAAAAAAAAGTTGGATTAGAGGAAGGAATAACAGTCATATAACCCAGAGAAGTAGTTAAAAACTGAGCTACAGGCACTAGTCTTATGTGGAAGACTAACTCAACTACAGACTTCTTAGTTCCAACATACTCTATTTTTTTCTGGTACTGGGGATCGAACTTAGGACCTTGTGTTTGACAGGCAGGCTGGCTACCTCCCCAGTCTCTTAGTTCCAAGTATGCTAAATTGGTTTATCTTTGAAGCAAAAGTGGCAAAAAAAAATCAAAGTAAGTAAATCATTGAAACATGTAAAATTTCCACTGTAAAAGTAGAAAGCACAATTTCTATACCATAATTTTTATTGCTCTTTATCACTTTTGAGATACTTTCATTTTACTCAATATGTGAACACAGAGGACCTAAAAGGCATAATAAATTGCTTCCCTTAAAAATATAGAGAAGAGTGAGAGATTGAGAAGGATAAATAAAAGTAAAAAAATGTTAACATGGGATTAACATCTGGGTGAAAAGTATCTTTGTACCATTCTTGTAACTTTTTGATAAGCCTAAAATTATACACACAAAAAATAAAATTATACACAAAACTTATCCTTCTATTAGAATCATTTAAAATAATTCTCCATGTGGTAATAGTTTCATTTTGTAGTGTTTCATTTGTTTTAATTAAATTTGGATTTAGTTTGGTGTTTAATTACAAAAATACTTGGCTATCGTTCCAAAGTCAACAGACAAGTACCATTCAGAGAGGTCTAGCTTTTGCCTTCTTCCCCTGCCTGCAATCTCCTATTTCTCACTGGTAACTGTTTTCATTTAATTACTGGCTTTTTCTTCAATGTTAGGATATAAAAACAAGAAATATATTAAAATGCAAAGATACACATAACATTTGAGTTTTCCACACAATATATTTTATAGATACAGAGAAAGTTTTCTTCTGGACGCTTCTTTTTTCTCAGTGGAATAAAAACAATCATCAGGTGGGAGTGGGAAAGAAGAGGAGGGTAACTGAAAATCTGAGAAAGATGAAGGTGTGATAAGTATTTTCAGAAATTAGGAGAATAAATTGACCTAAGCAGTGGTTCTCAAACTGGACTGCATCCCCAGAATTCCCGGCATAGGTCTGAGATGAGGTCAAAAGAACACATTTTTGGGGAAAGGGAGAAAAAAAAAAGAACGCATTTTTAACAAGCTTCTGAATGATACTGATGCTGTGGGTCTGGAAGCCATGCTCTAAGAATCACAGCAGTAAAGAAATAGAGAAATAGAGCTGGCAGCACAGGGCCTCACTTAAGGTTTGTGGCCATGAGTCTTCAGGGAGTCCAACCAAGGTGATTGCCTGTTTGGATTAAGGTGTCCTTTCTTTAGCTAAGTAAGATACAGTACTGGAGGAGGCAGTGAGATGAATTCACAGGGTTGGTACTTAGAAAAAGAGAGGATGGTGATGTCAGTAACTGAAGGCACCAAAGAAGCACATAGATTTACTTTTCTACTTCTATCTTCATATACATAAAAAGCTTACAAAAGACATCCAGGAAGGGTAAGTAGAAAAGGCTATGTAGAAATGAGCTTAAAACACTGAGTTAAGTAAACATTTCAGAATGAATAGGAAAAAGCTCACATAAAGTACTAGAAAAAGATTGTATTCAAATCTGGTGGTAGTCTCGCTGACTCACACTGAAGAGGAGATGTGGTTACAATGTGAGAAGGCCAAAGACTGCAAACACACAACTAGCATTATGAAAATGGATGGTTTAGGTGTGAGAAGATAGCATGATATAGAAAGAAATATTTATACTAGACTTTATGAGAAAGAAAGCTTAATAAGAAAACAGTCATAGAACAGCCTTGCAAGGATCTTGAAGAGATATTTGTACACCCATGTTCACTACAGCCTTATTCACATGTCCACCAACAGATGAATGGTTAAGAAAATGAGATATACCCACACAGTAGAATGTCATATAGCCTTATCAGTCATATGCCACAATGTGGCTGAATCTTGAAGACATTATGCTAAGTGAAATAAGCCAGTCAAATACTATGTGCTTCCTCTCCTATGAAATAGCTAAAAAAGTCAAAATAATAGCAGTAGAAAGTAGAGTCATGGTTGCCAGGAATAGGGATAAGAGGAGAGAAAACTAGTGTTTAGTGAGTATGAGGTTTCAATTTTATAGGACAAAAATGTTCTAGTAATCTGTTGCACAACAATGTGACAATACTTGACACTACTGAATTATGCACTTAAAAATGGCTAAGATAGTAAATGTAATGTTATACAGTCTTTATCTCAATAAGACAAAACAGTCCTAGACCAGTATGGTAATCCTCCTTAGTAGTTCTAAGAGGGAAATCAGGGCTACAAAATATTTTTGTTTTAGCAATTTAAAAATACTGTCCCTCTTCTTCTGTGAAGTGTCTGTTCATTTCACTTGCCCAGTTTTTGACTGGTCATTTATTTGGGAAGTCTAACATCTTTAGTTCTTTATATATTCTAGATAGTAGTCCTCTGTCGTATTAATGGCTGGCAAAGTTTTTTCTTGTTCTATAAAAGCTATCTTTTCACTGTTGTTTCTTTCACTGTGCAGAAGCTTTCAAATTTGATATGTTCCCATTTGTTGATTCTTGGTACTATTTCCTGTGCAATCAGAAATCTGTTCATTAAGTCTTTGCCTATGCCTGTGACTTCAAGTGTTTCCCAAGAGCTTAAGGGAGGTGGGGACAGAGGAAAGGAAAGGGGATGAGAAAAAAATTAAGACGCGTTATATACATGTGCCATCTCCCTACAAGGAATATAAGCACTGTGTACTGCAAACATGTACTAATAGATAAAAATAAAAATATTGTCCCATATGTTATATTTATAATAAACTAAAAGCTCTGAAGAATATAATGTTCAGGAGAGGATACCCAGAAATAATTAGAATGTCAGGTAAAAGCAGATGAGCTAAATATGTAGTTAAACAGAGATGCAGAGCAACAGTTACAGGGAGGATAAAGGCTTACTTTTCATGCTAAATGATCCCAAAGAAAAGGGAAATGATACTAAACTGCAGAGCCAGCAATTACACAGATAACTGGTAGTGGTTAAATACTGGACTAGAAGCAAAACAAAACATGCACAATCCTATACCTATATTCCTTAAAATACAGATTGTTTTAATTTAATTGCATGAGTTTATTGTTTTGATCAAAAGGAGAGAATACCATCACAAATCTCATCTAGTCCTACAATTATAAGATTGTTTTAGAAAACAAATCCAAGCTCTTAAAAGTACACATGAAAATATACCAAGATAATGCAAAGAGCAAATAAAACTTAAGCAAAAGAGTAAGAAAGTTTGTTAATGTTAGTATAATTCAGGATGTAGACAACAATTACTAAAATGAATCCAGAAAGAATCAAATTCAATATTTATGCTTTAAAAGTCTACACAGCACATACACATCATTTCTTAGGAAAGACAGGAAATACTTATTTCTGTTGATAATTTATAAAACTCTTTTTTAATATCTTGGGGTGTGGGAAACTTTCTTCAATTTTTAAGTTGTAGGTTGTTTGTAAAGAAGATATAATTTTCTAGTTATGTGTTAATTGACTGTCAAGTTGCTGCATGGGGGTGGGACCTTTTCATATCTTTAAAAGGAGACTAAGGGCTGTCATAGTGAAAAAAGAAAGAAAAGAGGAAAAAGAGACCTTATCAGCACATGTGAATATAAAAAGAAGAGGACTCAACCAATTGCACCACCACCGGACGGAAGAGCTCAGCTTACAAACCCAGCCCAGTCTAGGGAAGCTTGAGGTTTAGCTGCTTATACTTCAGGAAAGGCTGAACTGTAAGTATGAATTGATTTGCTTTTAACTATATAAATTAGCCTCAGTTTTAGTTTAAGTTTGATTACCTAAACATTCAAACTGAAATATGATCAATGTTGATTAGGCTACTCAGATATCAACAATTCTTTGCTGTTAGAGTCACGGAATACATTGCTTAAGTATCACCTCTGCCTTGATTAATTTTTAAGACAAATCACATTGTTTATACTGCATTTGTATAGTGGCATAAAGATTTACAGATCTACTTGAATCAATGAAAAGCTATTTTCAGATACTATCAAACTTTAGTTCTAACGTATTTTAAATTATCTATGTTTGACTTTATTGTTATGTCTTCTCCTTGTTTTAAAAAATAGTATTTACTGTATATTATTCAGTACTTTAGGGTAATTACCAGACCCATTAAATTTTAAGTTTGATGTTTCAGAAATAAGGCAAAAATTAGAGAAAAGAATGAGCAAAATAGTATAAAAAGTAAAGCCATACTAATATGCTGAGCTGTAAAAGGCTCAAGTCAACAACTTCTGACATCACCAGTCTTAAGGAAAACTCACTAATATTATGGACTACTGGACTATTTTGGAACATTTTGCTGAATTTACACATCTATAATATTTAAATGACAAAACTATAACAAAGGGGATACAAAAGAACGACCATTTTGTATCTATATATTCAAAATAGTTAGGATAGATATACAGCTATATTCTCTTAATTCAATGAATAGAAAGATTTGTTCTAATAGTGTTTGTGGACAGGATATCATGTCTGCATCTTGTACAGTGAATAACCACTAAGAAAACAATATACAATGTGTTAATTATTGAAATTGTGCTAGTAATCGGTTGTGAAACTGTCTCATTGCTATTTGTTTCTCAATAAAAATATGGGAAAAATAAACAAAATAAACTGAAATTAATTAAAATAACTAAAATTAAAGTTTTTGACATAGTTAAGCTTATACAAAAACAATATATAATAGTACTATTTCCAAAATAATGATTTTAATTTTTATTCAATTCAGCAATTATCACAATGTTTGAAGCATGACCTGAAGGGATTCAGTAATTATCAAGTCAAAGTAAACCCAGTAAAAGATTGCTACCACTGAAAATAGGTATGTATTTTAACATAGCAGTGTCATACTTACATAAGCATACACAAATTCCATTGGCAAAGCTTCTGCTTATTTGGTACCACAGTGGAATCTGTTGTGTCCTACTCATTCAAGACCTTAAGACCACAGCTCCTATGTGAGCCAGTAGAAAAAGAAAACCAAAATTTGGGAGGGTAGGGGGTAGGTCTTGGTAGGCAAAATGTACTCATACAATCATAAGTTGTGGGGGAGTGCTTGCCAAGTAGCACTATCTACTATTAGAAAACTATCATGACTACTTCAACAGAGCACATGGGTCACATACAAGGCTTGCTATGTGAACATAGTGGTTTGTTTTTCTATCTTC